AGTCTAAAGCTGTGCTGCGTTTTTTTTTTTTTTTTTTTTTTTTTTTTGGGGGGGGGGGGCTGTGTGTGTTTTTTGTTGTTTTTTTGTCTTTGTTTGTTTGTTTGTTTTGTTGTGTGTACGTTTTAGAGGATGCTTTGGAGCTGAAATCCACCAAGGGATCTGCGTGGTCCGGGAGTTCTCACGAGGAGATGTGAGGGCTTAGCTATGTGTGTCTTCATTTAAGACACAGCTGCAGTGCAGTCATCAATTTTAGATAGCTTAGGGGAGAAGGAATTCTAAATATTTAAATATAAAAGCGGAAAACATTGCCTGGGCCTTCTGATGAACCTGCATGTGTTTTGAGAAAATAATAACTTCACTTTTTCTCAAAAATAAGTGTTCTGATTTTCCTCTGCCTGGCCGCATGCGAGCACTGACAGCTGTGTAAAGTTTGGTCATTCCAATTTGGTCATCCCACCTCACACAATTTTCTGTATTTCCCTAAGGCGTGTTGTGGAGACGGACTGGAGAGCCTGAGTCTCGGAGGACGTCTCTTCTGAGGTGGTGCTTCAGCGAGCATTTAGTCTGGGGCTGTCATAGGGAGAGACTGTGCTGCCCCGTGTCTTAGGCTGGCTTGTGTAGATGCACAGTGAATGGGAAACTGATTTGGTTGAAAAAAAATCCTAATTTCCAAATTTTTGTTTGTGGCTCTACCGATACGTGACTAAGAACACTCCTTGTGCACGGTGTAGCTTTGTCAGTAGGTTGCACAACTGAAGATTTAGTAAAATGATGAAATAACGTATTAGTATTGTAGCACATGTATACAGGATGCCGGAGTGTTTAGCATCAAAGTTCTGGTTCTGGTTTGATTCAGCAGCCATGTGTTCTTCTGAATGTTAAAAAATAATACCCGTTTTTCTTTTACTAGCCCTCAGTTGATGCAAAATGAGTGTTCCTGACTACATGCAGTGTGCTGAGGATCATCAGACTCTCCTGGTTGTGGTTCAACCGATTGGCATTGTACCCGAAGAGAGCTTTTTCAGGATCTACAAGCGAATTTCAGCAGTGAGTCAAGTTAACGTGCGTGACTCTCAGCGTGTGTTGTATATCCGTTATAGGCACCATTATCCCCCAGAGAACAATGAATGGGGGGATTTTCAAACACACCGGAAAGTTGTGGGGCTGATAACTATTACGGACTGTTCTTCTGCAAAGGACTGGCCTCAGACTTTTGAAAAATTCCATCTTCAGAAGGAAATGTATGGTTCTACTCTCTATGATTCCCGGTTGTTTGTCTTTGGGCTTCAAGGAGAGATTGCGGAGCAGCCCCGCACAGATGTGGCGTTTTATCCCAGTTATGATGAATGTGAAACTGTGGAGAAAAGAATAGAAGATTTTATCGAATCCCTCTTCATAGTGTTGGAGTCTAAGCGGCTTGACAGAGCCACTGATAAGTCCGGAGACAAGATCCCGCTCCTCTGTGTTCCTTTTGAGAAGAAGGATTTTGTAGGTCTGGACACCGATAGTAGGTAAGCAGCTATTTTTGTCAGCTCTTTAAAAAAACATGTGGCAATTGCTTGCCTTTAGAATAAGCCTATTAGAAAGGACAAAGCAGACTTTGTTATAACAAAGGTCGTGCCCCTATCTTATTGTGTATGTCTGCTGTAATTTAAGATAATGTTTTGATGGTTTGAATTTATGTATATAGGTATATATATTTAATTTATGAAGCTAATCAAACAGTAGGAAGAAGTCACAGGAGAGGTTTGGCAGATTCTGCTATAAAGAGACTTTTTGCTGGAAAGCTTCAAATGGTTTATAGATATACAGTATTAATGAAGAAATTCAACTAACATTGATGAAAAATAATTTTATATTATGTTGAGTAGTATTTGACTAATCCTACTTATTGTGGTTTTTTTTCCCTAAGCCTCTGTCTACTTTTTCATCCTGTGAAATAGTGACCATTTATTTTGGTGACTAAGTTCAGCATCTTTCCCTGTCTTTCATTTTTATTTAATTATTTGATATTCTTGACCAGTCTTGTTTTGCTACCATTCTTCTCACAACTGTTCTCCTTGGTTTTGACTATGTTATAGTTTGGGTTTTGTTGTTTTTTTTTTTTCCCCACATCTTTTCTTCGTAATCATTTGCATGCTCAGCTTTCAGATTGGAGTGTTACATAGTCCTCGTATTGGGGATTAGTAATTCTGGCTTGCTAGCTACAGGTGGGTGCAAAATGTGTTTGACTCCACTGTTTGCAGTCAAATCCAAAGAACAGAAGCAACCATCTTCCTTTTGTCTTGGAAAAGATAGAAGTGTGGAAGCCCTATCAAAATACACAGTATGCACAGGAATAGTATCTTTCGCATCCGTCTTGTACTACTAGGGATGCCAGCAGTGGTTATTGTGTGTAAAAGCTCAGTGGTATCCAGGCTGGGCTGCCCTGAACTGTCCAGGCGGTTTGTGAAGGCTGCTGATCATGTTAATCAGCTCTGCCTGCATAATTAGTCCTAGCCTTAGAATCTCTTTGTAGGAATGTGATATACTGGACGAAAGTATTCTAAGTTTCTAATTAGTTTGAAGCCCACCATTAAATTCTCTCTGGTCGCTCGAAGGGCCAACAGTACCTTTCTCCCCTGCTCCCGGTCCTCTTTGCTGGTGAACAAAGAAAGTTGAACTGGCTCTGACTTGCTTATCCAATGTTATTCCCTACTCGAGCTACTCTTTCAGTGTTGTGGTTAATCCCCACACTATTCAACTTTCATTAGCCGTATAAATTATTATGTTATTGGTTTTTGTACTCTGCATGGGTGGTAAAGTTTAGTAGACTAGATGAGCCCTTTTAGAATCTCAGCTTTAATTACTCAGTTTGGGTGAATTTTAGTTGAATGTAATCACCAAGATTTCCTGTTCCGATTAGCTAAGAAAACGATGTGTTTTGGCCAAGAATCTCAAAATCAGAGTTAATGATGCTATTCAACTGTGTCTTCTAAATAGCATGCTTCCAAATGGTACTTTGGGAGTCAGTTCCTTACATAAGTTACTTGTTTATGAGCAGTGGCTGTGCTGTAGCTAGTGGCTGAATTTTTCCTGTGAAGTTCTGAACTGGTGGGGAGCTCAAATAACAGGTAGTATGTTTGTCCACACATATGCAAGAAGATATTTTATGCTGTTGCACTGAAGAGTTGAAACAGATTTAGTGTGATGCTTGAATTCTTTGCAAAACGGAAGGTGTATGACCCTGGTTCTGTAGACATACGGGTTTATACAGAGTTAATCACTGGTTCAGATATGCACACAACCTTGCTGGGTAGTTTGAATACCAAATAATTTTTCAGTAAGTCTAGATCAATGGATGTATTTTAAATGTTTGCTGCACTGAACTGCTCAAAGAAAAGGTGTTAAATATTCTGATCTTCCCCTTTCAGTTCAATAGTAAGAAAGTTTTTCAGCTTAATTTTGCTGTGGAGTTAGTACTTCTGATTGTCTTAAAACAGGATTTATATATGGATAGCATAAGCAAGCTGAATTAAAAGATCTTTGTATTCAGTTCAGTATTTTGCATGGCTGAGTAAGGAAATACTCTAAACGCCTGGACTTTGTTTTTAATATTTTTGAGTTTTGTACCAGAAGGGAGAAACGCATGTAATCCTGAGTAAACATTAGAAAAGGAGTTGTCCTTGACTGCATTAGAAATACATGGCCATAGTGAACCTGAGCTTCTCTGCACAGGCACCTTTCGTGTAGCATGATGCATCTTTGCTTCTGTATTCTACACAGCAGAAATTCAGGACCGTGAAATGTCATTGAAGTAAGATCAGTTTATTGAACTAACCTACACTTTCAAACCTAAGCCTTTAGATGTGAAATGGTAGTATATCGTGTTTTATTACTTTGGTTGCAATAAAAGGTTTTTATTGTAGCGTGTTCTCTTTTGCAGTGACAGATTCCCTAGTTAAGGGGAAAGCATTGCATTAAGTTGTGAGAGGGACACACAGGGCTATAAAGGACCTTCTTCAACTGAGTCCCGTTTCTGTTTTAGCAAGATGCAATGTTGTATAATTCTGTCCAGGGAGGGGTAAAGGTTGTTTGAATGCACGGAGCGCATATGAGAATATGTGGTAAAGTAACTTTTGCTACTTTGTTGGTTTTGAGTCTGTTGGCATAATAAGTTTAAAGAATGAAATAAAAAAAGGATGATGTTATTGAGATATTGAGGCAAATGAGACAGCTTTTTCTAGAATAGGTGGCAATTCTCAAGGGTTAAATGCAAAGAATGTCCCCTTACTCTTTTTTTGTTTTTTAAGGTACCTTCTGTCTTTTTAAAAAATTTTTTTTTTATATCCTGACCTCCCAGTCATTAAAAAGCACAAATATTCTATATTAAATTGATGGAAGAGAAGGCACGCTCTCTGTGCTTTTAACAGAGAGTATATGTCTTTGTTGCTGTAGCTGTAGATGTCTACTTAGGCTAAATAAGCATATATTTTCCTGTAACTTCTAAAATTGAAGTTAAATTTCAGTGTGTAGCAAGCGTCTCATTATATGTACAGTGCAGTTGTAACCTTGAGCTAATGAACTGGGTTGATGTATTGAGTGAAAATACGTTAAGAAGTTACATGGGACATAGTAATTATGATCACATGATTTGAAGACTAATTAAAAGTACTGAACTTTTTTTGTCTCTTAAGAGACTTTTCTCCAAGCAATTTATTGTAAAATACTAGGGTTAATACTTATGTTATGATCAGGACTAGATACATAGAACTGATCTTCTCTCTCACCCAATTAGGAAGACTAGCATTAATTTGGTTGCATAATAATTGCAATATGATTGTCTTCTTTTAAGATGCAGAGTTTATAAATTAGGGAGATGGATTATTATGCTGCATTTCAAATAAGATAATTCTCGGAAAAAGTGGAGCTGATCTTTGCAAGTTGCTTGTATAATGAGCAGAAGAGACAACATTCCTAGAACTGTTACTGAGATGACAATATACACAAACCCACTATATTTGTGTAGAAGAATTCTTTTTCGGCTGGTAGAAAACTTTATGTGTGAAAAATAGTGGGATTAAGTCCTAAGAAGTTTGGAAGAAAGATTGTCCTGTTAAATAGAAGTTGTAGGACTGGGAGTCTGTCCTTGGTTTAATTCCTAGAGCACTCAGCCAATAGGTGATCTTGGCAAATCTGTTAATTTTTCTTTCTGTTTTTTCATCTGTAAATTAGGTAAAATATTTATGTGGTCACAGGGCTGCTGAGGATAATTGAAAAAGTTTCTGAAATCAGTTGCACTTGATAGTTACTTGTAGAGGCTGGGAGACTGATGGAAAAGAATGGAAATTCATGTTCTCATGATGGTACAAAGGTCCTACAAACTTGAAGCTAGGAAACATACTTGCCAGAAATACCAAAAATCCCATTTGTTTATTTTAAAATTTTATTTCTGTTTTCAGCTGAAACAAATAAACATACTCATGTATGATTATAAATCTACTTAGATAAGCTCATTTTAATATTGTTTACATCAGTTTGTGTCTTAGGTTCTTTCTTTAATACTGGTAAGGCATCCATTTAATGCTATTGAGCGATGAGAAAGTAGGGCTCTATTTATAGACGTGTCTTGCCCTACACGGTATCGTAGATGGGATTTGTTCACTGATTTATCAAAGTTTATAATATCTCAGTATGTGTATGCGGCTGTTAATTTTCTTTCTGTTCTGTCTTTCTAATTTTTGTTTTGTTCCTTCCCTTTTTTTTTTTTCTTCTTCTCTCATACTGCCCTGTGAGTTTGTTGTTGGGTCTAAAAAGGTAGGCTGTGATTGCGTATATTTAAAAATAGTTAGCTTTCTTCCATGTACTGCCTTTCCACTCCGCCTTCATTGCATATTTTAGTGTTGCTTTTTATATTTATTTTTCAGTACACACAAAAATAATTGCTGCCTGGAGCCTTACTACTGTGGTTGACCCCTTTTGGCGCATTTGGCAATTATATTTGGTAGCAATGCTGAATTGTTTTGTAGGACACACATAATTTGCTTAGGCGGCTGCTGGCCTCTGGAATTTGCTTTATTTTTTAAACTCCAAAGCCATGAAGCTGTTGCTGCCTGTGTTTGGTTTCCAAATTCAAAAGTTCTGGCAGTCAATCAAATGCCGTAGCTGTGTCTTTTAAGTCTGGATAATGTTATGATTGGTGGTATCTATAGTTCTGCATGCTAATTGGAATTAGCGGAATTTGATGGAAATTTTTGTTGAAGCATTTTGCATGAATACTTTTGCAAATTTATTTTGCATGTTTCTTGTTTTTAAATTTAGACACTTTGAAATTTTGAGGATCCAGAAATTCCTTCAAACCTGTTGCTGGATGGTTTGTAGCAAAAATAAATTCTGTCTTGAAATATAATATTGTTGTTCTGAATTTTCCATAAAATTATCCTAGGATTCCTAAAAAAGAGCTGGGGATGAAGGGGTAAAGCATGTATCCTATATAGCAAATGAGGTAGAAGTGGACATGGGGTCGAGTAGT